GGAATCCAGTGATAAATAATACTTTTCCAGTGAAATAAGCATGATGACTTATGATTTCATTTGTTTATTAAAGAAAAAATATGAGAGAAGAAATGTCTTATTTTTATGTCACTTATTCTTCTGTTTATAATGGTTATACATTTACACCTTCGCTATTCTGCTTCTGAGCTACTATCGTCTGAATCGCTAATTAGCCACTCATACAGGTTTAGATCTGTCATTCTAAAAGTATCTCTCTTGTATTCACAGCATATTAAACCGTAATACTAGATCTGAATAAATTTACAAAAAATCGCAGCGAAGGAAACGCAGAATAAAAGTGGAACAGAAGGAGAAAATGTAAACTGATATAGTTATTTGGTGCTTACTATTTTCCCATTCGACCATTTTCGGCAAATAAAAACTGTCGCTAAATAGCGCGATTTAATTCCAAAAATGGATAAGCGTTACGTTTTCATTGCTTCTTAAATGCCATTAAAGAATTTCGGTAGTTGAATTTATTCCGATTAGTTTTAATAAATTTCTCAGATATTCTCAACAGATTTCAGATGTTTCTCAGATATTCTCAAAGCTTGAGCTCCTATTTATTTAAATTTTTACTATAACTTATATATCTTTATTATTCAACTAAATAAACAGCATCCTTGGTCACTTAATTAAAAAACTAATCTCTTCGTTCGAACTTCTGATGGAATAAGTGAGACAAGTTCGGAAGTTCTCAGTTAACTTTCACAATGGATGGGAAAATATTAAATAACAAATATTTTATTGGGATTTCGCTTACAAATATATTTCTTAGTAAGTTTCTTGACACTTTTTAATTAAAAAATAAATCATATTTTTATATTTCTAATTTTCTTGACAGAGTATTGAAGAAAATCGTTACATTTCTTGTGCGAGAGAAAATAATGCGAAACTGAATAATAAATAAATGGGAAACTATAAAAGCTAGCATATTTATATGAACATTATAAATTTAGTTTGATAAGCAGTCTTTTGTAATGTTTTACTGACATTTCGGTGGCTGTACATCAATATTTTATCGCCTTGAAAACATTACAGCTAAATAATGATCTAGCAATGACTATTACTACGTTTTACTTTCATTATTAAATGTATTTTAGCTCTTTCCAGTCAAGAAGCTATTATCACTCACCACACAGTATATTACAAAAGTGATTCACCCTCGTTTACTGGATGTACATAAGGTTAATAAAATAATGATAATTATACCACTCAATGTTTTACAGGTTTTCCTTTACCTAATGTGACGTGGTGGAAAGGAGATGAATTGTGGGATGACAGCTTTCATAACGAGTCTGACAGCGTTGTCAACTACTTAGAGTTGTTTGATTTAAAAAGAGAGGAGCTTTTTGTTACTTTCCAGTGCAAGGCTGAGAATAGTAATCTCACTTTGCCTGTCACTAAGTCTATCATCATCGATTTGCTTCGTGAGTTCCTTTCCTTTATTCTTAAACCTTTATACAAACAAGCATAATTTATTATTAATACATCAAACCAATTTTAAATAGGGAGATTATTGGAGCTACAATAAATGTTTAAATGGTATATTTTGTTATAGTTCGTATGGAAAATAAGAATGCTGATATGCAGTTTTAACGAACTTCGTTTAACACTAAAAAATGAGATTGAAAACTTAAAGATCTTTTAGACTGAAAAATACGCATAAATTTTGCACATAAGAATGTAAACACAGAAAAATGTTTAAAAACATTCAAATGTTAAGCATATAAAAATCAAAATGGTGCATATTACATCCGTTAACTTTAAGTAAGCACAAGAAGACAAAGAGTAGTTCTAGTAAAATTATTCGGTTATGAAATAACGCTATGCACAAAGGCATTTTGTTCGATGATAATACGGACAATACAAAAATCAATGTACCTTTAAAATATTGGCTTGTATATACCTTTTGTCTGCTTAGAAGTTCGCATGGCACGTTCAATAATATCAATTTCACAATGGCAGGCTTACATTCGCCAATCTTGCGGGTTCCATGTATAAAGCATTCTTCTTCATACAAGCCCAGAGGAAGAGTGAGCTATTAGTTTCGAAACGTATAGAAGAGAGAAACATTTAAGTATAATATTAAGTTGCTCATTGGAATGAGACATCACTTTATTTTATTACGTAATGTTTAAATCAATATTATTTATTCCGTGGTTATACTATATTAAATAATACTGTCCTCTTACATTATAAGGTATTATCGCATTAACACTGAACAACATTCCTAAAATGTATTCATTCCTGAAATAATAATTCAATCTTGCTAGCCTTTGAGAAATATTTGAAAGGCAGGCCAAAGGAACAAAAATGCAAAAGAATATAGCTTAACCACTTTTATATCCGCTGAATTTGGTTTTCAAATTATACGTAATTTTTTTCCTTTCTGAATTGATTCCTTGCGTTCAGGAAGAGCAGTAAAAATACAAGAAGAAGACAGTTTAATAGACCTAATCTGCTTAACCCTTTGCGACGCAGTGTGTCCAGTCTGGGCACACCTAAAAATTTCCTTCTGTACGCACAGAAGAATTGAATGAAAAAGGATTTATAGGTTACCGAGATTTCTCTGAACCTGACTTATTTATAGTAATGGCCGCTCAACACTACCAGTCCATATTTTTAGCAATTTTAGTTTTAAGACCCTCATTTTTCAAGAAATCTTCGAATTTTTTAGAGTATAAAAGAATGTTTGAAAATAAATCTAATGATTCTTTTGGCGTTGCTCATCTCTCATCTATAATAGTGTTAAATTTACCTAAATATTGCCTAAAATCAAACGGCGATCCTAGGAGAGTCCAGAACGGGGTCACCGATAATCTAGGACAATGAGCTTCGTTTCTTTCTTTATCCGCCTCTCAACGGTAGTTCATTGAAACATGATCGTTCAGCACTCGTCTCGAGCTCTCTCAATCAGTGTGCCATTGGGACGCTCACAGAATTAAACGATAAGTGCTATCTTCACAAAATTTTACTTGTGTACTCCTCTATGCCTAAATAGACTGCCTACTTTTTTTTTTTTTTATCAAAACTCGAACTTTAAAAAGTAACTTGCCGGGAAATGTTAACCTCTTTTATATCCGCTGAAGTTGATTTTCAAATTTTATGTAATTTTGTTTTTTCCCCCCTTTTTGAATTGATTCCTTGCGTTCAGGAAGCACAGTACGAAAACAAGAAGAAGACAATTTAGTAGACCTGAATTGCTTAATAAAGGTATTAATTCACTAAGCACTTTGTTTTTTTTTAATATTGCGCTTGGATCGTGGATCGCTAGATAAAAATGAAGAACGCGATTTTCAATCTAATGTAATCTCTACGCGTTTTAACCACATATGTTTTTTTAAATAATTGATATTGTTATACCATTTTCATTGCTTGTATGAAAATGAATGTTAACAGATAACTACAAATACTTTTTATTTTATTACAGTCTATCCTTTGACAGTCACTCTCATAAATAAACCAAAGTGCCTACATGCATGGAAACCTGCTGAAATCACATGCAGTTCTCTGGGATCCCGCCCACCAGCGAAGATCTCTTGGCGTTTGAACAAAACTGTACTAGCAGCTCATGCAGAAACCGTCCATGATAACATCACAACCTCTGTTCTTCACTTCTTGCCTAAGCCCCAGTTTCATCTACATTCACTTTCTTGCTTAGCTTCAAATCCAAATTTGCAGAACAATTCTTTATACGACGTTTTATTGCTCAATATCACATGTAAGTTGACTTTGTCCTTTAATTATTCTTACGATTTCTGAATAAGAAATGTATAATAAACTCTTTAAAAATAATGAAAAAAATGAAGAATAATCTACATTATTTTCGTTCACAACAGAATGTATTATGTATAGATTTCATACTCCATGGATGAAATAAACTGGAAAGACCTCAGCTATAGAAATGCCGATGTTTTTCTAGCAGAATTATTATTCACGATATACTGCAAAACTGAAGATGAATATTTCTAAATTTTTAACTGTAAAAAGCTAACTCACCAATACTAATTTTTGCGATACATAAAATATATCACTAAAGTCAAGTGATTGTGAAATAATGCATGGACCTCTAAGGTCCCAATCACATTATGTTCCCGCTACGAGAGACTTGACGTCAAAAGAGACAATTCTCAAAACCCGTACATTTCTAGAAAAACCACGTAGCTAGGTTACCATTTTCATTTACTACAAAGACTTGAACACCAAACAGTAATCGATTATCGCTCAGATTGGATCACGTGATCTTTCAGAAGCAGAGCTGTCGTCTGATCGGTTGATCTCTACGTGTGACAGATCTCCAGCCATAACATTTTAAGCAACGTGTCAAAAAATCCCACGTAGCCGGTACGTTGTTTCCGTAGCTATGCAGGATTTTGCTTCCAGCGGTGCTGTTGTTTCTAGGAATTCTCCCGTTTAAACTAGTGCTACCAGAATCTGCTTGCTCAGAAAAAGTCCCGTCTAGCAGGTACCGTCGCTAGATGTGATAACCTCTTAAAGTGATTGTAAACTAATGCATAGGTATTAGTCTCAAAATTGCGTAAATGAAAAGAAATGATATTATATTCATGTTCTGTAAAATGGAAATAGCAGTTTATCGACAATTAAATTAAAAACAGTTTTTACTTTCATAAAAATTGAATTTATTCATAATGGTTTCTTTCGACTTTATATCATCTCTTAAGTATTCGCTTGGCTTATAAGAAGATATTAACACGTTGACTGCCGCGCGCATTTGCTGTTGGCGCCAACATGAAGTTTTTACTATGCTATGTATATTACGTTGAAATATTATCTACAGAAGATAAGATGAGTTATATAATCGTGTTTAATGCATTTTTCGTGGTGGTGGTTACCGGTGACCGCCGAAGTGCTGCAGATAATTTTTGCTATTTATTATTCTTCAAACTATCGTAGTAATTAAGGGTATTATTTAAAAAATTAATAGTATCGATATGTAGTCTAGCTATGTAGTTTTACTATTGGTCGCGTCGCCGGTCACCGGTATCCTCCGACGGGGCTGTAGCTAAGTCAAGTGCCGGTCACCGGTGATCCCTACGACAGTCAACGTGTTAAGATGAATGAATATACCTGTTATGTTTGGCCTGGCACGGTTGTACTATTTTTTAAAACTTGCTCTTAGAAATGAGACACGTACATTGGTGTATGGCATGAAATTTGCGTGAATATACTGGGTGTAAGACAGTATGGAATATGAGAACACATTTAGAATAACTCGTATTGAATAAAATTTGTAATTCATATTAGATGTAATTAATCATATTTCAGTTTCCAAAATGTTACATTGTATATCCTCCTGTTACTGGGCTTGGATTCAGAAATATATATGTGTATGCATGTTTGTTTGTATGTATGTATGTGCACACGTACGTACTTATATACAGGCATGTATAACTCATGCATGCGTACTCACACACGTTTCTGAATCCGGTCCCGATAACAGAAGAGTACCTTATATTCAATAATATAACTCCGTGAGTTATGATGTTGTTATAATAAAAATTCTTTTATTTGTTTTAATTTATATTTAAATTTCAGATGTACCTCAAGTGTCTCTTCGCTTAATAAAGGAAGAAATTAATCAAGAACCAAAAGAAGATGACTATTTAAGATTGGTATGTGATGTGAACGCCAATCCTCCCGTATCGAAGCTTGATTGGCTCCTGAACGGTTCAACACTATCTCACAACGTATCAAAAACAGATATTGTAAATAACAACATATTAGTATTCAAGAGATTAACACGTCACAACAGTGGTCGCTACAGATGTATTGCAGTAAACGTAGAAGGGAGAGGTCTCAGCGAAGAACTGGTTCTCAATGTTAGCCGTGAGTAAACAACGTGTGAATTCATATTCTTAAAAAACAGAAATTTATTTTATTTGAACTTTATTTTTAATTTTAAACATGTTACTACAAATTCCTATGCATCCAGTAATTCTGAAGCATTTCTTTTTCCACACCAATAAAATAATAATAGTATTTACTATAAATTAACTAATAAATTAATTTTAAAGTAATGTATAAATGCAAAATGCAATTTAGATTTTATCCGTAATATATTAGCAGCAGATTTAAAGCTGGATTATCTCCAAACTTCAGTTAAATTTCTAACAAAATGTTAAATATTCTTGTCTGTAGATGGATAAATAAAGATATGTAAATGTATGGAAGCCTTGCTATATTTTAAAATGCTTATCTATGCATGATGCATGTACGTTAGTTTACGAAAACATTTTAATTTGCTCTGTTAGATTTATTACAGCTCCAAATTCAGTGTTTCATTCACATATAACAAAATAAGGTTTTATATATAATGACCACAAAGGTCTTTTCTAGTTTGTTCTCCTTTCTTTAATTATACATACATATATATATATATATATATATATATATATCTAATAAAATTCTACGTTTGTAAAGATTAAACAGCCGGTTAGATTATCGCAATTATAATTGTTAGTTTAAGCTATAATATTTACATGAATTATGCAGTTACGTAATAGAAACTTGATGGAAACCTGATGGAAACTTGTGATTAAGAGCAATCAATTCATTGCTCGCATACATACCGTATATTTTATCTCTGATCTGAGCTCCGATATAGTGTGTTTGAAGTATAAGTTTATTTCAGGAACTTTAGGTTTACTCTTCCTCACTAACATCCAGAAAAATATTTTTCCAGATGCCCCAGTGTGTAAAAAGAATCAACAAATAACGTATGTGGCAGGACTTCACGAGAAGATTGCTATTCGATGCGAAGTTGAGGCAGTTCCTTCAGAAGTTACGTTCAAGTGGGAATTTACGAACACCATACAGAAGCACTACAATCTTCAACACACCACAGAAGGCTTAGTCAGCACAGCCATCTATACACCCATGTCCGCTGCAGATTACGGAACACTTTTTTGTTGGGCAAATAACAGTGTTGGTCATCAGCTATCTTCGTGCTTTTTTACCGTTGTAGCACCAGGTAAGATGTAACTTTTAAGGTCATTATGATAGATGGTCAGAAAAAAATGATAAAATTCCTAAAAATAAATTTAAATGATCATATAATCCTGTCATTACACAGAATATTTCAAAATGCCAAACAACTGAATATGATTGGTTCGCCGTAGAGCACATACCCATACATCTGTCAAAGACCCATACCCATTTTTCATATTACATCCATATTTTCATTAAGAAAGGAATCAATATGTTTTCAGAATATAGTAATTTCGATTCGTATTCGATTATTTCGATATTCATTTTAGTAAAAATATGAGAAATTTAAATTTTCAAAAGAGACCAACAAGAACTGTATTCTAATTAGTTAGTTGTTCTTCATTTTATTTTAAGATATTTGGAAGGAGGGAAAATATAGGTCTATGTAAAAGAGATCTTGAAACATTGGCCCATTTATTGAATCATATTACTTTTTTACGATGAATAACAGTTAATTTTAGTAATGGCGCAAAATTTACGTTCAAAATTCAAAACTGCAATTTTAGCTTTTCAATAAATGGTAATTTTAAAACAATGCTTAACACTTTTAGTTGCCGATAGTGTTGCCAATATCTTTGCATATCCCATGTTGTCTTACTGTTCGAATGTGATAGAATTGCATCCCAAAATAAATTTATAAAGCATGACAAATGATCTAATTTCATTGAAAAATAATTTAAAATATATCCATTGCAAAGCGAGTTTTTAAAAATTAAAAATACGTTAATTGCAAAACAGTTGAAATGATTTATTCTAATGTTACTCGTATGATTTTCATCAAATATTTAAATACAATTAGCATTAATTTATATTTTCTTTATTTCGTAATATGTTGCTTTTTGAATTTTCTAACTTTCTTCGTCTGGTTTGTATGAGCTTTCCCCAAATCTTATTCATCAAACCATATTCAACGAACTGACCCGGTACTCTTGGCATAGATACCCTATTTCCGCTCTTTTCTAAAAGACTTGAATAAATGTTTTCCTAACGCAGAAGCGCCTGAGTGGCCGAAAAATTAAAACCGCTAAACACTGGTTATCCGACACGGCTTCGAACACCAACGAATGGACTTGCTCTACGGGCGATTTTGTGTGTTTCCTTATGCGTGATATGAATGCGAATTAGTTTACCTTAGAAAGTTCTCCTCGAAGACTTTTTTCCTTAGGTGAGATAACCCTCTCGTGCTTTGCCCAAATCGATCAAACCTCTCGTAGAAGACATCTTACTGAATACTGCTTCCAAAATTTTAGTACTCGCAGCTGCCAGAATATGATAATCCCTTCCTCAGATTTAATTTATGATATCTCAGGATTCTATAACGATGGATTTTATACTGTTTTACTGATTACACTAAGAAAAATATCTTCCACATTGACATTTTGTATTCAGTTATATTTAGTGCTACTAAGATGTATCGCATGAAAAGTATGACTGCTAGTAGTTCACAATATGAAGTACGTTATTTTGTTGACTAATTAAATAGGAGCCATTCTGCGTTGAAAAAGTCAAGACAGAAATCCAACCTTGCATCCGCTTCGAAACATATTTTTCAATGTTTGAGTACACAGCAAAATATCCAAAGTTTGAAATTTTGTTTAGCTTCTTAGAACTCATAAGAGAGATAGACGAAATATTATCATCCATATTTACGTGCCAGGACGACTAAGAAAAGCACAGAAACATACGCAATATCAAAGAATTAACAGTATCTTTAAAGCCAACCAAAATGATAATGGGTATGATTGTATTATAAAGAGCAAATCATAAAATGATCCTAATTATAATGCAATATTTTATATATGTTATTTTCCTAATATGAGTAGGTGTTCCTAATTTTCTGAACTTCCATAATCTTCTAATAAAAAATGTTTGAGGGAAACCGGCTTATATATATGTTTTTCGAGAAAGAAGTATTGTTTTAGAATAAGTTGTAATCTTTTTCAAAATTCCGTAGAAAAATAATTAGTTTTTATCGTATATTTAACACGAGAACCGACATACTAAGATCAAAAGCTATCCCTAAATTATTGTTCAGAAATGGATTATCAGTTACTTTTGTACTTCCTTGCATGAATTCCAACAAGTATGGTAACCATGAAAAATTTCAGGTATCATATATCGACGAAAATACCCAATTCGACCATTCTCGAATCCATTTGAACGATGTTTCGCGAGGCATTTTTACGTACGGACATAATACAGGACTCTTTATCGTAAACGGATTGCAAAAGGGATTTAAAAGGGATTCAGAAGATATTTTTTCATAACATCTGTACATACATACATACATACATGCATACGTACGTAAATACGTATGTATGTATCCCGTATAACTAAAAAATGAATTGCCTCAGGACGTTGAAATTTTGTATACGGACTTGTATACCATGTAGTTGTTATAACATGTAATTGCCCACCTCTCTTTTTGGTTGCAATCGGATATACCAAAATATAGATATTAGTATGATATTGATGTAAATATAGGTATGACTGATTCGGTATATATATATATATATATATATTTAACCACTGTGTACCACGTTTCGATGAGCTTAGTTTTTTTTTTTATTCTTACATGTTGGTAAATTTTGGATTTTTTGCTTTAAAAAGTGATTGAATTGTGTTATCTTTATGTTCTGGTTAAGGTGTTTGTGCCTTTAGTTAATCTGCATGAAGCACTTGTAGAATTATCAGCAATTTAAAAGTTGTTTAAGCCATACTAAGCTTAACAAAGCCGCTCTATTTATTTACTTTTGAAATTCTTAATAGAATAGTATAGCGTATTAAGTCACTTTCCTCACCAACGTCAGTGTCTTTCTGCCTAGTCACACCAAAAGTAAACTTTGAATTTTGTGCACCGAAAATTTTATCTTCCTGCTCGTTGACCAATTTGCTTGTTTTTGCGTAGATTCCTGAGCGAAGTATAACTAAGCGGTATAATACATAAGTTAATCAGCTAAATGTAAATGAAGATTTACACTAATTTTCCTGTCTAAATTTCTTATAACAGTTATATTTGAAATAGGTACCTTAATCGAGCTTTTACTAACGACGGACATTTTCTGATATATTATCAGAGATTTAAAATAAAATATTGGACATGCCCTTGTTATACGTAGATCGAATGCCGGTGTTACTAATATTACCTTCACTTCGCTTTAAAACGTATGGAAGAACTATCACTAATGATTTCATAAAATTTACAATGTGAACTAAAGAGGAAGAGGAATATGATGCATTATTAAATATGATGAGCTAAAAGGTTCTGCTGTATGTACATAATGAATGAAAATCTTTTCTGTTTTTCCATTTTCCCCTCTTATACAGTTTTATACATTATGCCATATATTTCGGTATATGCCTATTTTATTTTGGTTGTGCTAGCTGAGTTTCAGATTGTGAGGCAGTGCCACGAAACTTCTAATCAGTTTGGGCAGGTATACTTAGACATACCATATAAGAAAATTTATTTTAATTCCTGATAATTGATGGATAGACCAATTGTATGCATTTACAAATTATAGCTGAATGTACGAAACAAAGGCAAGTGTACATTTGAGGTCTCTGTAGTACGACATTCTGGGGTAATGAGAGTTTGGAACGTATCCTGCAGGTATATGAGGTATTACGATTGTAGAAAATCAAACATTGTATTTCGAAATTGAAATGTTAAGCAGCAAAACAACAATTTTATTGAAGATTGTGATACATTTATAACTGCCAAGCAACAAATTGTGCTAAAGTCTTCCATTGAGCTACCAGCTTTCGTGAAGAATGTGCCAAGACATTTAAAAGGATCGGAAGCTATCAAGATGAAATCTACCGACAGAAGAAGGAAATGTGACGCTTGTAATGGAATAAAAAGGAAAAGTCATTGAGAAACTTGGAAAAAATATCTCATTCTCAGCGATTTCACCAGCATCAATATACCGCACTTTGAGAAAAAACCTTTAGGTTCTTTACCGCTTAATGCGACTTTATTGAAAAGGAGATTTGCTAATAAAGATGAACAATTTTCCTCTTGAGTAATCTGACGAAACGTGGTTTAATGATTGTTGACAAGAGATTAAATTGCAGTCGGTATAGTGACTGGGGTCCATCCTCCCCATATCACAAAATGTTTGACATGCACTAACGCGGAAGAAATAAATTATGGTCTCTGCCTAAAAATAACAAGAGGTCATTACGGAAGACAGCATTTCAGGTGGGAAAAGTATGTTTGCAGTATATTAATTTTAGTGTTTGCAAATATTATGCAGAAAAAGGGCACAAAAATCACCTGACTGGCTTGGGGATAGATTTGGAAAGGTTGTAACCAAATACGCATAAGAAGTTTGACCTTGTCCAATATCAAGTCAACACATGAGTTCACTAGATCTTAAGATGTGTTTACAGACTATATTAGAAGAGTCTCTTTGCTTAGTGCGTATTTCCTCCCTGAAAGGGGTTTCTTCAGGAGTGCCCAATACATTTGAAAACTGAAAGTAAAAAGCAGTCCCCACAAAGAAGCAAATTTTCTCAAGCACTCAATCGCGGTTATTGAGAAGCAGGGGACTAGATGAGCTACAGAGAGAAACTGCCTGAAATAAAATAACATCTTAAAACAAATTCCAGTGCATTATTTTCTAAATAACCTTCGTGTGCGTGTTTTATACTGTCCCAATAGCTATTATCTGAACTAAAAATAACATGGTTATAAAGGAATTTCGAAAATTGCTTTAAAGCTGGTTTTGTTTCTTACTTTACATCTACTTCCATACATGTGAAAAGTAAATGTCGCTTCAAAGATTGTTTCAAAGTTTCGTCTTGTTTCATGCCTTATATAGTGACAAATAGTAGTGTTGCGGCCAATTATATGAATATGTTGTTGAGTGATTAATTCTTAATGATTGAAACGGCGGTAAGCTTTTATTGATGCAGTATCCCAAAATATTGCATTTCCTAGCATTTCAATTCATGTTAATTGAACGGTGCGCTTTGTTC